CCTCCTCCTCAACCATATGTTCTTCTTCTTCTTCTTTTTCTTCTTCTCCTTCTTCTTTGTCTGACTGATTGTCTGTCTGTCTGTCTGTCTGTCTGTCTGTCTGTCTGTCTGTCTGTCTGTCTGTCTGTCTGTCTGTCTTGCTCTCTCTCTTTCTGTCTGTCTATCTGTTTGTCTGTTCGTCTGTTGTTCTGCTTGTCTGTCTGTCTTGCTGTTTGTTTGTCTGTCTGTCCGTCTGTCTGTCGTTCTGCCTGTGTGTGTGTGTGTGTGTGTGTGTGTGTGTGTGTGTGTCTATCTATCTGTCTGTTTCTCTGTCTATCTATCTGTCTGTCTTTCTTTCTGTCCATCTGTCTGTTTGCCTGTCTATCTGTCTGTCTATGTGTTTCGCTGTCTGTATGTTTGTCTATCTGTCTGTCCTCCACCTCGCCCAACATGTAGCGAATTTTTATTTTTTTTCCCCTTCTTCTGCTTCTTCGGCACAGGTTGCGCTGACGTGACATCTCGTCCGCCTTCCGTTGTTGCTTGCTTATGCAGGACTAGCACTTGCCACGCCAGCGGTTGCCATGTGAGCAGGTGCCACGTTAGCAGCTGGCAGGTCAGCAGTTGCCACGTCATCAGCTGCCACCTCAACAGCTGCCACGTCCGCAGCTCGCACATCAGTAGCTGCCACGTATGTCCTTGGCACATCAGCAGCTGCACAAAGGAGGCGCCGCTTCAGTAGCATTCCCCCTCAACAACTCACACATAAGGACCTGCTGCATCAACAACTGCCACATCAGCACTTGCCGTGTGAACTGGTACCGCGCGTGTGGCACCATGGCCAGCACCAGCGTAGCTGCTGGAAGGGGTTCGCGTCCGCCCACAGTCCCCTTACAAGAGGACACAAACTACAGGGGCAAGCACGTCGTGTGGACTTGGGTGACTCCCGGCCAGCTTTTGTCGGGGAATGCTCGAGGGGCGAGGAAGCTAAAGTGCAAATTGTTGCGGACTTGAGTACACTGGGAATCAAAATCGGGCCAGCAAGCACTTCTATAAGAAGAGGCTCTCCGCCCGGTGTCCACATGCCAGCCCTTGCGATCTGGAGGAAATTGCACAAGGTCGGCGCTCAGTTCCCACTGGACATTCTGGAGAGGGTGCAACGCGCAATGGAGGAGAACCCCAATGACGACGATGATGCCCATGCGGTGGAGGACATTACAGGCAGCGGAGGTGAAGGACACTGTGTCGGTGGGGAGGTTGAAGAGGCGGCTGGTGGGCATCCTCTTGTTGGAGGAGATGAGTGCACGAGGGGGGAGGTGACAGGTGGAGGCACTGCTGTTCGGACACTGGCTTCCTCGCAGGTCGAGCGGCGGGCGCGGTGGGCAGGCAAACGAGCATTGTGAGGTATGCGAAGAACCCGAGGCAGGAGGCTATTGTTGACTCCTGCTGCGAGTTTTTCGTGGAGAATGCCATCCCATTCAACGTCGCCAAATGCAGGAGCTTCAAGAAGTTCACTTTGGCGTGTTATGGGCCGCAGCCTACGGTGAGTCACTCCCATGTGCCCACAGGCTACAACCTTCTCGGATGTCGGCTTCTCAATCGGTTGCGAGAGAGGTTGGAGAGTGAGGAGCATGCGATTCGGGATGATTGGGAAGTCACAGGCTGTACATTCATAACCGATGGCACCACAGACATCTGTGGGCGATCACTTATGAACTTCATCCTTGCAGGGCGGTTGAAGCCGGTTTTCATCAAGTGTGAGGATGTGAGCGAGGGGGATAAGGACTCGGCTGCTGTCATTGCCAGTTGGAAGAGGTTCTTCAGGGAGTGGGGGGTGGACATGATCACTGCCATCTGCAGAGATTCCTTCGCTGGGAATACAAGTGCTGCAAGGATGTTGAGGGAGGATCCAGAGTTCGAGTAGATCTATTGGATTCCTTGCACGGCTCACTGCATGGACCTGCTCATCCATAATATTTGCAAGTAGGAATGGGTCGATGACATCATCAAGAAGGCCAACAAGGTGGTGAACTTCTTCAGACGCCACATGTGGCCACGATCGCAGTTGAGGACACAGTTGTTGCAATCCCCGGAGTTGAAATGCACTTGCTTGCTTCGCCCTGCGCAAACAAGGTTTGGGACCCACTACGTCACACTGAAGCGGCTCGAGGTGTGCGCGAAGGCCATCACACGGATTGTGAACGGAGTTGCTTGGGAGAATACGGTGTGGCGAGAGGACATTAGGGAGAAGGCCTTCTTCGTGGAGGAAACTGTTCTTGACAAGGCCTTTTGGACTGATGTGAAGAAGTTGGCCGCCTTGATGAAGGACCCCTATGACGTGTTGCGAGAGGTGGACAAGGATGTCCACTGCCTCTCACGCATCTATGACATGGCCTGCCAGTTGTCGGTCTTCGTTCGTGCAGCCCGCCTCACGGAAGAGGAGCGAGACATCATCTTGACGGCGGTGGCGAACAGGACTGACATGAGGCCCGGTTGCTTGATCCTGTCTTGAGGGACATTGTTGTTTTCAGCAATGTGGAGCTCATGACGCAGTTTGAGAGCGTTGTCGATCGACTCATCGGGAAGAGGGGGCGCAAGAAGTTCACCAATTGTATGGACCAGTTGTACGACTTCCAGTTCGGGAACGGGGTGTTTGGCTCCGAGCGGGCAGTGGAAAGGGCCTCAAAGGACAACGCAGTGTTGTGGTGGGAGGCGCATGGGGCAGGGTATCAAGAGATCAAGGCCTTGGCAATCAAGGTGCTCTCGATCTGGACGACTTCTTTTCTGGCTGAGAGGAATTGGAGCTCTTGGGCACTGGTGAAAACGAAGCCAAGGAACACATTGCATCATCAACGCACCGAGAAACTGGTGTACTCGCACTTGAGCCTCAAGCTCAAGAGCCGCGGGGGTGATGACCCCACTGTGGCAGGAGGGTGGTTCGGATTGGCAGCTGACTGGGATGACGAGGATTTGGAGGGTGGTCAGGCGGGTGTGACGGACGCCGTCCATGAGGGTGAGGTTGCATATGACGGAACTCGTTCAGCTACAGGCAGCACCAGTGTTCACCGTGATCCCTTTATGCCTGGGACTTCGGCATCTGCGAAGAGGTTAGGGGAGGTGGGGAAGGGTGTGGGTACGGAGGAGGTAGATGTTGACGAGGAGGAGGAGGATTTCGACGATGAGGATGGCATTCCAGGAGAGAAGTGGGAGGATGAGAGGTCTGACTCGGATAGATCGTTGACGAGGAGGGAGGAGATCACGCCATACATCCCGGGCACACAATCTGGATTAAGGTCTTAAAGTCAGCGACAGGAGGAAGAGCCGCGTCGACATCACAATGAGGATTGGGCGAATGAGGAGCAGCGGGGAGGGGATGAGGAGGAGGAGGAGGAGAATCAGGGTGGGGACGAGGAGGAGGTCGAGGAGCAGCGGGGTGGGGATGAGCATGAAGAGGCACAGGGGGAGGCTGGCCAGCAGGTGCATGAGGCGCACGAGGCGAAGACCCACGCGGATGACACTCGCAGAGATGAGCAACTGCACACTCCGTTGGAGGGTCACACAGATGGGGAGCAAGAGGGTGAGGCAGGGGGTGCGTGGTGTCGAGCGTATCAGTCCGGCACCGCGCGTGGCAGTGCGGGACCCTCTCGGTCGCGTCACGCAGGAGTTGGACCAACCTCGACACGAACGCGCAGATGGAGCTTCCTTAGGCCGCTCCGGCCGATTGTGCCAACCATACCTCTGGCGAGCCCCTACGAAAGGATAGGGCCTACACGAGGCATGACTTACCTCCACCTTACGGGAGCTGTCACCTCCCATCGGTGGGCGTATCCCCGCCGAGCTACCAATCCACAATACGAAAGCTACTCGGTTGCCATCGCAGAGGTGGACCAGCCGAGGGCGTTTCTCATTCACTGTAGCATAGGGGGTACGCGCGGTAATACGCCTAGAGGACCCGCACGTGAACCGACATCCTGGGGGGCTGAAGCCCCAGGAGCGGCCCGTCGTCGGCCGACTAGGACGCATCCCACTCACCACGCGCACGCCACTTTACGAACACAAAAATAAAACGCACACACGCACGCACATCGAACAACGCGACAACACTCCTAGTCCCTTCAGTAGTCATCCCATAACTTTCCGGCGCAGAAATCGAATAGGCGTCGCGCGCGAGACTAAGTATAAAACTGCGCGGACGCAGGGCTAACTCATGTCGACTCGCAATGCAAGCGGTCGCAGTGATGACGTACTATGTAGTACCCATGCTCACGTGGTCCTCGTTAATCTCGAGGGTCGCATTTGACACTCAAGTGTCGGCTGACACCCACCTTGAGGTTTAATCTCTCGACGCTGGACAACCGCCATGCGCGGTTAAAGACCACACACCCTTTTCTGCACTCTGTGCACAGTGAGTGGTACACAGGTCCAAAACCTGTGGTGGTAGTCGTCTCTCGCGGCCCTAGGGGTAAGTCCTCCCCGGGCCTGGGCGAAAGTCAAGGGGTTTGACTTTGACAGTTGCCACGGACTACAACGTCCAACCATAAAAATCTCTAAAAAGCAAACAAGACACGCACGAACCCAAGAAGAGGGAATAGGGCAAAGGTCCCCTGGCTTTAAAAAGACTCATGGCCTTAAAGCACCCTTCCTCTCTATGGGTGGTGTCGGCGGCCTACAATAATCCCAAGCGCTGTGCCTACGCGCGAGCCCGACGATCCCATAACTTTTAGGCGCTGGGGCGGTGAAGCGTCGCGGCGGGATTCTAACATAAAGCTACGCGGACGCAGGCCAATTCTATGCCAACCACCAACGACAATCGTATGTGGCAACCGAGGCTCCGGCCTCGCGATATTGAATGGCTGAAGGAACCCATCGCGAGGGGTCACCCCTCGCGATATTGAACGACTGAAGGACACGCCGTTCGGCCCTCGCGAAATTTCCGCTTTCAAGGTGGGGTGTCTCGTCGGCCAAAGTAAATAGGCTCTGTGCGAGGGGAAACCCCTTCCCTGCAGAGTCTAAGGCCTGGGATGTCCTGGACAAGGACCTTGAATCCCGGCCCAGGCCCAACGTCCCACTATGAAAGCCCCAAGACGCAAATAGGCAGAAGGGGAGGTCTCCCCTGCGCCTCTCGACCTCAACTTTTAACGGGTTTTAACATGGCCTCTCAGGCCTCTCGAACACTCATTCTAGGTATACTCAAGCATATATGCACAAGGGAGAATAGAGATGCGACGATCACTTCTCAAAGGCACAGTGAGACTCTTCACAACCATGTATATGTATATGGGATCGCAGGCAGTCCAAATCCAAAATCCGAGTCACAGGACATACCTGCAATCACATCAAGAATCAAGCGACAAACACGCACTACACGGAGTCAACCCCAACCATTCCCTATGCTCATGCCGCTTCGCTTTAGCCATGCAAGCCCCAACCGCCGATCCAACCAACCTCAATTAAATACTCAGTTCCTTTGTTAAATGGTCATTCAATAAAAGTCCGGGTGAAACCCTTAACAAACAGTAAAACCACCAGGGCTAAAACCTTTTAGGTTGAGTACGGAGAGTGAGTTGGGATTGAGTCGAAGACCGACGAATCGGCAACCGACTTGTTATCAGTGATAATAGAAGGTGACCCTCAAGAGATCAAGCTGAGTCAAGTCCTGATCTTGAATCAGACACCCCAAAGGACCTGTGGCACAAGATAGGTCAAATGCCCAAGCTATATCATTAGCGTATGGGGAATAAATCCCCATAACATGTTTTTACTCAAGCTACTTGCCAATTAAAGTTCAAGCCTGCCTCTAAGCCAGTGCCCAAACAAAGGTAGACTAATGGCGAAATCTCCCCTACTCAGGGTAGATTGCCAGAATCGCCACCTGTCAAAATATAATCTAACTCCTCTAATTTAAGAAAATTTTGGCAGCGCTTCCCGTAGAAAAAATGTCTTTCCAGAATTTATACAAGCTCAAATATCAAAAGCAGGAGTAATATAAAACTCTTGAAAGTCAAATTTTGTCTAACTCCCTGAATTAGTAGAAATATGAGCAGCATCCCCTTTGGAATTGGGGATTTCCCAAATTTATACCAAGTCAAATTTGAACTCAGCCCCCAACTTTGAGTTCAACTTAAACAAAATCTGACTAACTCCTTAGTTCTGTAGAAATTTCGGCAGCACTCCCTCTAGAAAAGTGCTTCCCCAAATTTTATACAGAGCTAAGTTTAACTTGAGACCAACTTTGACTTCCCAAAGTCCAATTTTGTCTAACTCCCTGAATTAGCAAAAATTTGGGCAGCACTCCCTTTAGAAAAGGAGACTTTCCAAATTTTCACTAAGTCAGATATAAAGAGAAGACAAGTTGAACTTTGGCAAACCAAAATTTGTCTAATTCCTTGAAACTGTAGAAATTTCGGCAGCGCTTCCCGTAGAGAAAGTAACTTACCAAAATTTATAAAAGTCCAAGTTTAACAGTGAGTCTAAAAAAATGCAAGAATCAATCTAAGTAAAATAAAGTCAGCTCAGGAAATGCAGGAATTGGCCTAACTCTTATCGCTCTAGCACGTGGCGAGCCTCTAAAGCATAACCTGAAACCCAGACCAAGTAATAATCTCACTCAGCTACATGCAAGCCAAACCACAAAGGTAAGTACTCTCACCAACCCCAAACTCCTTTAGCAAACAATAATTCATGCTTCCTCTGTGAGTTATCCCTTTATACCCAACTTACATAAGGCATAGGTAAGGGCACCTGAACTTACAGAGCGCGCCCAACTTAGCCAGGCCTTAAGTAAGAATACCTAAACTTATAGAGCGTTCCGACTTGGCCAAGTATACACAAACAGAGGGCACAACTACTTCTCTCTTCTTTGGGCGCATGACTAGACTACTCTAGTCCCCCTGAACTGTTTAAATAGCCAAATTATATATACCTCTCTGGACTTAGTCTTCGAAGGGGGCATAAGGCTGAGCCGCTCAACCTAGAACATTGCCCAGCGTGCCCAAGTTTACCTTGAATTATATCTCTTAGTTATACTCTCTTCAGTTGTGATAAGCTATAGTCAGGCTACCTAAACTTATAGAGTGGTCTGACCAGCCCGTTCGTAATAGCATAGTAATACAATATAGCCAGATTATATCCATTGGGTTCCAACATGTGCGAGGCATTGGGTCAGACTACCTAAACTTATAGAGTGGTCTGATCCTCTGTCAGGTTCGTTTCTCTCTGGTCCAATCTGTGCGAGGCAGTGGGATAGGCTAACTAAACTTATAGAGCGGCCTGCCCCCTGCCAAAGTTATTCCCTTAGAACAAAACAGGAGAAGGGCTGAACCACCTAAACTTATAGAGGGGTTCAGACCTCCTCGTTCAGAACCAAAGAAACTGAGAGAACCCCAAGTAAAATGAGGGAACCCGAGGTACCTAAACTTATAGAGCACCTTGGGTCCCTGAAAGTCACCCACAGTCAAACCCTCACGAGTCAGAGCAGCCAGGACACCTAAACTTACAGAGCGTCCTGACCCTCCATGCAACTCACAGCACGAGGTCTCCCCAAACTTATGGGGACATCCAGCCTCCAGAGCTTCAGGCTACCTAAACTTATAGAGCGGCCTGAGGCTCCATGCAATCCTAAAATAAGCAAAGTGCTGGGCTTCCCCAAACTTAAGGGGACCTCCCAGCCTTAGCGACCCAGTCAATCTGCACATAATACCTCCCAACCTTCCCCCAGATGCAACCCATTCCATTCACAATCTGCTTTCAGGCAGTCAACAAACTGAAACTGATATTTGTCCATACATTCCTTTACTTCATTCTGACTTATGTTCTGAAAGTCAAATTCAAAACCAAGTACAAGATCCACACAATCCAATCAATCAAACATAGAGGGGTGCACAGGTAGGGGTTATGGTTGGGTTTATAGAAGGAGTCAGGGAATTACCACTCAGTTCCCTACCTCCAGGACTCCGCCTGAGTCCCGGCAGAGCTCCCGCAATCGGTGCACAGGTAGGGGTTACGGGCCACACGCTCGCCTGCCGCCTTCCTCTCAATACCAAAAGACCAGACTTAGAGTAAGAAGGGAAGAGATAGAAACATTTTAGTCTCTCAGATACAAGAGGGGTGCACTCAGACTCGCAGGAGAGGGCCTTGATTCCTTGATGCGCCTGAGGGCCCCGCAATGGCGGCCAAACACCAGCAGCTTGGTCAAGACTGCGGTCAAACCGCCAGCTATCGGCTCTCTGACGATCCCCTGAATCGCAGCAGTGACCCCTTTCCAACCACCCTGTTCAAGGAGTCCGCTTCCAAATAACAACACTTGCTCGTGCCTTTATCCGGAATACCAATCAGGGGCAACAGCCCCAGCTAAGGACGTTGCTC